TAAATCTTAACACCCATAAAATAAAGATGGAATTTTCCTTGACACCAACATCTCAAAATATCAAATTTGTCTGGACTTATAAATTAAGTGAATCAATTTCAAAAAGTTATTAGCATTGCTTGATAATGGAACTTTGTATTTTAAATTTGTATGATTGAATTTAAATTGAGGTTTCAGTTTTGAAACATGGGAATTTTGATGTTGTGATAACTATACATTTAAAAAAAAAAAAAAAATGATTTTTATATTAATTTTATTGTTAGGGTTAGCATTATATATGTTGACAAAAAGACAATTTTTGTTCATTATAAAATTATAAACTATACACTACTAGCAACTAATAAAAATTCACCAATCCCCCTCCCTTAACTTTTTTATTTTATTTATTTTTTTTTTTTTTCCTGGATATAAATCAAATGCTATGTCTGAAGAATTATTTGAATGTTAATGACCCTTCTCTATAGAAAATATCAAAATATTCATTGTTTTTGGAAATATTTCTATCTTGGAATGTGACCCATTTATTCCCACTCAGCCTCTTGCTTTTTGGGTTTTTATACATTTTCTTTGTATCTCTTTTTGAATATTTTTTTTTCAGTTAGCTTATATTGAAATACCATTTTAATACCCAAAATTTTATATCGCCCACCAAAATTGTCCACTATTTTCTGTTCACTTGCTCATCACTCACCCAACAGTTAAAATCACCCACTGTTGGGCAACCCTGCCCTAAACTGAGATTGTAGTTATTAGTAAGCATTCCCTCAGGGGTCCGCAAAGTAGCAGATCTGAGGAAGAAGTTTTTTTATCAAAGGAACACATGAAGAGAAAAGGGATGGTCTGCCACTGCAAGCATGGCCTGGTGGAGGGTCCTATCTATAAATGTCTTGTCTGTAGGATAAGGATCACAGGGTGAAGAATAATTCATCATCTACAAGGCCACAGCCATTTTTGGAATTCTCTTAAGGCCGGACAGTGAGGATTGGGCAGCACCGGCCCAGAAATGGCAGCCATACTCCGTTCTCAGTCTGATCTGCCTCTTATAACGATAGATCATGATATCGGATTTTCTGGAGTGATACAATGAACTGATCCATCTTTTTTGTGATAACACAAATACACATTTCACTCAAGATCAGGAGTAAGCTTTAGACCCAGTAGGCATTCAAAGCAAGGAGCCTCTTTCAGGGAATGACCACTTCTCAGGATTGTTGCAGATTTAGGGTCTGCTCAATGGTGATGAAATGTTACTAGGGTTTTGTTTTGGATGTGTTAAATGATACCAGTTACCCACAAATGAGCTGTGCGAGATAATCAGAGGAAAGATTAACTGCCAGTCATTGGGCATCAAAATAATTGTAGGTGTGCCCATACATTTTGGTATCATCTGCATATATCCATCAGGAATCTTTTATCTAAGGACTTAATATGTGGTGACCCCAACATATATATCGAGCTCACCCTAAGGCATACGAAAGCAAGTTTTGTAGCTGGTGTTGGTGTCTCATAACATTGAAAGAGATTAGATGAATTGGAGAGTTGACTTAGAATGTGATCCCATAATAACTAAGTGCAGATTTGGGCCTCAAGGTTGGTGCATCAACATGGGCAAGAAATCAACCCATCTGAACTTGGGATATACACATTCAAGACAACTGGATGGCAAGGGAAGGGTGGGCTTCCTCCCATCTCCACAAAATGCATTTATAAAGATTGGAATCACATACCCTCAATTTGGTCAATTCAGTTCATTTGAAGGAGTTCAGAAATTAATAAAATTATGAAAGATAATTTAGCCTTGTCTTCTCATCAGTTGTTTACTAATATGGCGCTACAAGATCTTCTGTTCAATTAAATCAAAACTAGTGAACACTGAAGTCAGTTTACTTTATCCCATTAACGTTAAATAAACAAAAACATTTTAAATAAATGAATGCTGCAATTTATTACTAAGTTTGGATTTTATTATTTCTTTGAGCAACAAGACAGGAAGCTGTGGAGAGACAAGAACACTAATGCCCAGGTGTAAAACACATACACTTCAAGTCCAAAGTTCCTAGGAATTAAAATTCCAATGAAAGGAAATCTGTTAGAAAAATTCTCAAACTAGATGGGTTTGTAATGTTTCGGACTGTCAAGAGATTTGAAATTGTTCATTTATTGTTTACGTTATTTTTAGAGATCAAAAATTCACAGAAGGATAGAATTTCATCTATTTCTATTTTGTTCAATTTTCATTGACTGGAAAACCAAGTTGACACAATAATTTTAGCTGGAAATATAACTGTACACTGATTGCTGCTAGTGAATGAAAGAGCCATTCTCTCAATATTTGTGCTACAAAACTAGAACAGAGATTCTTTGTTATCAAACTATTTACAAAACTGAAAGAAACAGTATTGATTACGTTAGCATTGTTAGGATGTCATGTATTGTGTGGGTTTTCTTTCTTTTCTTTTTTTTTTTTTTTTTTTTTTTTTTTTTTTCTTTTGTAATCAACTCAGTGGAGAAACCTTCCAAATTAATAATGTTTTGTTTGAGTACTTTTGACCATTTCTACTCCTTATCCAGGTACGTCAATGTTATCAGTGCAGAGAAACATTTTTATTAGCTTCATCTTTGCATTTGTAGAGATAAATTAATTGTAGTTTAAATATGTGTAACGAATATAGGTAATGTCATGTAGAATCGTTTGTAAAGGACATACTTTTTTTTTTTTTTTTTTTTTTTTCAAAATTAACCACTTTAGTTGTGGTACAGGGCCTAGAAACAAAGATCATGTCTTTTAGTTTTTAATATGCTTGGAAGTTTTTATGACACTGACTCGGTTATCTTGTGCTTGGCATTTTCTGATAAATTTTCATCTTCACAAATTCTAAAAATGTTCTCTCCACTCTAACAAAGGATATTGTTTTGAATGTGGATCATTTCTTTGGTATAAGAATGTGTGTGTATGCATGCACGCACATCTCCTTTCTCCTACAAAGGAGGAAGCAGGCTCAAACCCTGCAAGAGACCATGTTTTCTTAAGTCTCTTGAATGTACAGGCTGGTAAATGTAATCCATACTGTTTAAAAATAAAATAAAAATACATGGTCTCTACTTGCATGTTTCCATTAATAACATTTAGATTAATTATAAAAAAAATGTTGGATTAAGAATAAAATTCATCAACTACTATATATATCATTGTCAGAACTCATTGCTGAGTATTGGGGTGCTCATCAACATTCCTTCTGTGTGAAATAAGTCCTATGTTGGATCTGAAGAGACATCCTCAGCTAATGTATTCAATGGTAGGAGAGTTCAGGGAGTGAAGAGCTCTGGCCTTTTCTTTAGGCTCTCTTCGCCACTTTTATTTGTCTTCTGGTGTTTTTGAAGGATTTTTTTTTTTTATTTTCATAGACTGCTCTTCTCCAATTGCTTGTTTTTTTTTTTTTTTTTCTGCAACTTCCATCTCCTAATTGACCAGATTGATTTCTCAGCAAGGCGTTTTTTGAGCTCGTCCTTGAATCGACAATGTAGGGCTCCACATGGTCTCTTGTCAGATGCAAGCTCTGCAAAGAGGATTTGTTCAAGTAGGTGGATGTCTAGCATTCAGACAAGGTGTCCAGCCCATCAGTTGGTGGCAAATTATGATGGTTTTTAGGTTTTCTATCTTTACATGGAAGAGAACTTTGTGATCCTGTCCTGCCACATGTTCTGCAGGATTTGATGTAATCTTTCAAGTTCGTGTGTGTGTGTGTGTGTATATATATATATATATATATATATATATATATATATATATATATATATATATAATATACACACACAAATAACTAGTACATAAATTAATTGTATCAGACTTTTTATTGGCAGGAAAGGCATTTTGGGGAGGCAGAGTATGTTTTAGCATCCCCTTCTTTGTGTGGTGAAATTGTTAGAACGTCAGCATTCCTCCAATGAGATCTTGATTTGAATATCACCATGGTCTGTTTGTCAAGAAGATGGCTTCTTGAAAATATCAGAGAAAAATCCCAGCATGCAGCACTATTGGAAGACTATACCATGCATTGATCCAATCTTGTGTGTCAAACTGGAGAAACAAAATATTTCAGAAGCCCTCAATGGTTACACTAGCAATGAAATCACAAATCATTGTGACCAAATTGGTATTGTTGAACTCTTTGATCACACTCTCTTTCCCAGAAACTGTAACTGTCGGCTCAGCATAGTTAAAAACTGCAAGTTGGTTCTGAATATTAAAAAGACACAAATGTGCCTAAGTGGGCATCTGCAACTGGGATTAGCTAGCTAGTCTTGAAGACAGGTGTACTATTCTAATCAAAATCATATTACTTATGAGATTGTTTAAACTTAATTTTTTATTTTTATTTTAAATTTTATAATACAACAATAAATAGCATCCCTCCTTCCATTTTTAATCACACAGTGCTTTTCCCCTTGTGACATTAGATAATTTAAAGTGTTTTATACATTTTTGGTTAAATTTAACAAAAATGTGGTGATGGGACACGCTGATGGGTAGGATACACACTAAAGTTCCATGGATTTTGTGATTTGAAGAATTAAATTTTTTACTGATCTTTACAGCCTGAATTGGAACTTCAGCCCAAATCAATCTTTTTTGGCCAAAATTGGACTTATAGCCCAAATCGGAATTAAAGTGAGGTTTTGAAAATCTGTTCCATGGAGTTGAATTGAAATTTTGTTTAATTTAAAAAAAAAAAATTTTGTGTGTGTGATGTCAAAAAATATTTTTGCAAAATTATCATTTGCTGTGTTCTACAACAGGATTAGAGCCAGAGGTCCTTTTCTCTTAGTTTTTCATTTTCTTTCAAGTTCCCACAGAATGCAACCAGTTTTTAGTTATGTAACAAATAAAACTGAACCATAGTTTAGCTTTCTTTTTCAAATTCTTTTGTTTTTGTTTTGTTTTTTGGGGTTCTTTTTTTTTTTTGTTTTTTTAACTAAGATATTTTTTATCATCTTTTCAGTCTGTGGTGATATTCATGGACAATTTTATGACTTAATGAAGTTATTTGAATCTAAATTGGCACAGAAAATTCTGTCTGTGTCTGAAACCCAACCTGCAACAAACATATTATTATCTCTTTTTCCTTCATCTGGAGATTATGTAGACAAAGAGGATATTTTTTTAATGCATAGAGATTTTAAGTTTTTAATTTATATTCCATTTAAAGTAACGTAGTTCATTTTTCTTCAGTTTCTCATGGTAAGAATACAATTTGTTCTAATTTCTAAAAATGTCTTTGTTACCAGTGATTGCCTTACAGAGCCAACAGCTATCGAGTCCAGTAAACTGTTAGTAACAAATAAAACTGACATAGTTTAGCATTAATTTTTTTTTGTTTTTACTCCTCTAAAATATTGCAGGTTTTTTAAGTTGGCCACATTCTTGCAGAGGATATGTTCACTGTTTCTCATGGTATGTCCTCAAAATGTCTTTGTGGTGGCAATGGCATCAGTGATCTTTTGCTTTAGATCAGTTATGTCCCTCATCTTTGTTGGATATGCTATAACTTTAACATAACCCTATAGAAAGGAGTCTAGGGGGAGTGATATCTGATGAACAAGGTGACCACAGAATTGGGCCATCCCTCCCAGCCCACTGATCTGAAAATGTTTGGGATTCATTTGCCTTTGTAAAATATTTTTAAATTGTAAAGAGACATTATGGACACCCTGCATGTTCTCAGCTCATCCATTTCTCGTGGTTGATCCTATGAGAAGAGATACTTTTAAAGCCTTTGCACGTCATGCAAGGCGATCCAGTGAACTGAAGTAAATACCTTTCTTTGAACAAAAGATCAATGCAGTAATTTGCTTCAATTGCAGGAGAAATGCTGCGTTATTTGAACTGGCTCTTCTATGATGACATGTTATGGTTTCAAAAATAACAAAGGCATACGTAAAACCAACTTGACGGCTTTACACTGGAGATATCTTTCTGTAGTTTTGCTGAGTCTGTATATCCGATTCTGTTTCAATAAACCATGAAAAATATTGTCTTTTTCTTGAAGAGTAGCCATTTTTAGGGGGTTATTTAACAGTACCTCTTTTATCAACAGGATACCTGAAATACACAATGGGATTAAAAACTTTGATAACTGAGTACATAGAACAAATCTAATTAAGATATCTCATCAATTGCCTTTGTAATATATTTTTTAAATTGTAAAGAGACTTTATGAACACCTTGTATTATTTACTCTACCATTTTAAACAGATTTTTTGCCAGTGTTTGCCTATGTCTTTTTTTGTTAGTTTTTTGTTGTGCGTGCATGCATGCATTTTTAACATAATAACCCAACAATGTCACACAGCCTACCCTGGTCTTTTTGCCAAATTGTGAAAATAAGTTCAAAACTAACATATGTAAAATGAAGTAAATCTCTTCTCTGCTAAAACCCATTTCTTACTCAAGATTTAATCTAACAAATGGATATAGACACTTAGAGATATGTGGTGTTTACTGGAAGATTATATTTGTAAACAGCATTCGTTACATCAATGAGTAGAACTGAAATGCTTCCTTGAAATAATATTTGAAGAGAATAACAGAGTAGAATATGAAACTTTATAATCAAACAAACAAGTGTCTATAAAACTTGATTTGACCGACTTGTGTACTTACAAACAAGTGTAGGCCTCTCTACATTTCCAAAATTGTTGCTACTTCATGACTTGCATTGATTTACAACTTCTAGACAAAAAGACTGCTTTGAGAGTTTTTAATAGTGAAGAAACTAGTTTTTACACCCACACACACGCGTAAGTAAAGTTAATTGGTAATCCGTATGGATAATTCCAGTGAGGATATAAATCTTGAGTGCTCAATGTAATAAACAGAGCAAGTGATAATTAATTTAATAGATCAATTTGTTAATTATATATATATATATATATATATATATATATATATGACAAATTGTAAAAAGTTTTTGTGATGTTTTATTTGTTAGGACTTCATTGGGCTGGGTTTATTGATATTGTGGCTACACATGCGCATGAACAAGAGATTCTGGGTGTTTTTTTAAATAATTTTTGGATTTTTTTTTTTTTTTTTTTTTTCTGTAATCGAGTTAAATTCATCTATATTCTTTTTCTTTTCATCATCTTTGTTATTAAATATCCCACATTGTGATAATAGAAAATCTTCTAAGAATGAATGGTGAAATGTAAAAATAAAAAAAAAAATTGAAACTACCAGCATCTATCGTTCATGAGCATGTGTAATCACAATGTCAACAAGCCCAATTCAATGAAATCCTAACGGATGAAATGCATCAGAAAAACCTTTTCCGATTTGTCATATATATATATATATATATATATATATATATATATAGTTTCTATATTTATGGGATAAAGTGTTCAATATCAGAGATAGTGTATATAGATATAAAAGTGAACATTGAAGTCTAGACTGACTGTTGACTTCAATGTTCACACACACACACACACACATAAATATATATATATATATATATATATATATATTCATGTTCTGCATTTGTCAGGTGCAATTTGTATATGAACACTCACCTATATTTGTCCATTTGGTTATATATATATATATATATATATATATATATATATATATATATATGGGTATTCAAGGATACCTGCCTATTGCAGATGCTCGCTCAGGCACATTTGTGTTTGTTCAACCCCCACATTTTCTGGGAAAGAGTGTGTTATCTAGCATGATCAACAATCTGAATATGGTCAGCACACTCAAACCCTCGATCATGATGACTTGTGACTTCAGGCTAACACATCTATCGACGGCCCCCAATATTTCTCTTTACTCAATTTCACTCGCTAGGCTTGGGTTAACCCATGATATGATTTTCACGTTCTTTCCAAAGGTGCTGCATGCTGGGATTGCCTCCCTCCAGATCGATAACATCAGGAAGTTTCCTTCCTGACAAATTGACCATGGTGAGATTTGGGTCTCATCGTCAGAAAGGAAAATTTCTAACCACTCAGCCATATATATACATTTATATATGCTTCAGAATTATTGTTGCGGATATTTTGGGTTCTCATCATATCCATAATATTTTTGGGTGTAGTTGTAATTGTTTTTAGTATTTTTGAATGGAAATTTACAAATAAAGATAAGTTAAATTTTATCTCTCTCTCTCTGAATTTTTTTTTTTTTTTTTTTTTTTTTTTGCATAGACGTTAAGGAGTCTTGTATATCTGAGTTTTTTTTTTTTTTTTTTTTTTATCTAGTTCATTGTTATTAATGTTATCTTTTGTCGGTGTATATTTTGTGTGCCTTTTTGTTTTTAAAAAATCCTTTATACATGAAAATTCCAAATATTTAAAGTTTGATAAATTGATCTTCACCTTTTTCGAGAATATAAAAATACGATGACAATTTTATTGCATTTCTAATGTCACTTCATGGTTTTTTGTTTTTTTTTCTTTTTAATTTATTTTATATAATTTCTAATGTAAATGATACATTTTCTGCAAAAATTTCTTTACATTAATTGTTCAGTTCATTTTATTCGATTAATTTAAAATCAAATCATGCCCCCTTTGACTTGGGTGAAAATATTTGATCTCAATTTGTAGAGACAGACGAAAATTTGGTATCTGTCACAAGAATAAATAAGCCTCCATTTCTTTGACATTGGGTGGACAACTTTTCTTTTTCCAGTTATTTATTCACTTTTTCTGTGACTTTTTTTTTTTTTTATGCCATGCACCTATAATGTGCCTTTTTACTCTCAAAAAAAAAAAAAAAAAAGAAATAGTGACGTCTTATTTACTTTAATGGATTTTAATGATCTTCATAAAGAGATGATTTCTCTAGATTTAAAAATAATGCTAAAATACTTTTGTCTGTGTTTCAACTGCCTCTGCTGCCACTCTTACTAAAGATAGTCATCCTGTTGCCTACCAAGAAAGAATTAGCTAATCTAGACGAGTTTTGGCTTCTGTTCAAGAGCCAACCATATTGTAATCGGATACAGGTCGCACCTATTTATACCGTTTGCCAGCTATGTACTTCAACTGCTACCTGGCTGCAATGGGAGACACTGGGTCTACTACTTTCCATACAATTTTTACTATTTACACATGATCACTATTTAGCGAAAGAAGGTAGAGGAATAAAAAAAATAAAGTTTCTTGTAAATTGCCACAGAAATGACATGACATTCTGGGCATCGAACATAATGCCTGCTCCTCGTATTTCTCTTTCATATTTTGCCAAACAGCTTTCTACCCAAGTTGTTGATTTTTTTTTTTTTTTTTTTTCCTCACTAATTTATAGTTTTCAGTTATTTGTTCAACATGTCACTTTTAAGTCATGTTTTTCACTAGAGATAAGCAGAATTCCAATCTCACGCTCTTGGATAGAAATATTTTTGCAATAAATTTATTTACTAAATTCACCAGCATGACAAAACTATTTCAGTCGCTGTTGGATTGTGCTAAAACCAATTATATTAATGTTCTTATAAAATCTGCAATCCTAGAAGACACATTAAATGAATCCTGAAAACTAGAGAAATTCTCATGTTTTCAAACTACTTAAGACTTGAGCAGTTTTGCCTTTGATTAAGTCAAACATTTTTTTTTTTTTTCTTTTTTCTACAGTAAGGTTCACCATGTACAAGGACCGGGTGCCACTCAAGGTAGAGGGTTACATTAAGGGGCAGTTCATACGTATAGAAGCGGAAGATATTGGTTGACTAGACTTGAACAGGTTAAGATTGTAGCAATCGGTGGGGGGGGACCTTGTCTTTGGAGTCTATTCCACAGGGCCGTGATTCACAGGAAGAAGCTGTCTAAATGAAACTTCTTGCCAATGGAATATGGGTGATTTGCTACTATATAAGTGGCATGATGAGTCTTGGACATGCCATGTTTCTCTTCTCTCAGTTTTCAAAATAGATTCTTAAATCCACTGGATCTGACACATCACAGATCCCCGGAAAATGTTTGGGTTTTTTTTTTTTTTTTTTTTATTTTGTTATTTACCATTCTGATTCAAAATAATTCCACAGAAGGGAAAATGAATTACTCTGCTTTAAATGACCCATGAGGGGCTGATAGGCTGCAAAACAACAAAACCAACCAAAATCCTATTTTTAAGCTGTCAAAAAAAAAAAAAAAAAAAAAAAAGTTCACTGCTGTTTTTATATAGCATTGTTGCCTGGCTTTGCT